GGTCAACCTCTATGTAGTCAGGTGACGCGATAGGGAGACCCCCACAAGAATATCTGTGACAAAATTGAATAGAGTAGAGGGCCTTCAACAAGGAAATGTACTTATTCGACATGCCTTTCAGTGAGAGACATTGCCATAAGACTTCTCGATCAATGGAGTCGAATGCTGCCTTCAGGTAGAGAAATACAGTTATTGTCGGGCGTCCGTAAACGTATCTGTGTTCCAAAACCTGGGGCAGTGTGAATCCTTGGTTGATACACCCACGGCCAGGTCTAAAGCCAGTCTGGCTTCCTCGGGCTTTCTGTTCCCGAGCTCCGCTCAGGCGTCAAAAAATTATGGAACCTAGGACACTACGTTCGTCAGGCTGATTCCTGTGTGGTTATCACAAGAGGACTTCTTACCTTTCTTGAAGACTGGGATAATCAATGATTTAGATCAGTTAGAGGGAATCGTATTTGACTCCCATATACTGGTTAAAACTTCCGTTAACATAACTAAGAGCACCTTAAGACCATCACTGTACACTTCATAAGTTAGTCTGTCTGGTCCTGCTCCCCTTCCTCGTTTCAAGTTACCTACTGCCTTCTCGACTTCTGCTAGTGTTGGGGGACCTATCTCAATGTTCCATTCAGGATCCGACTGGATAGCAGGCAACCTAATGGTGGCTAAAGGCCAGCTAAACGGTTCCTCGAAGTGTTCTGCCCATCATTTCAGTCGTCTCCCCTGCCAGTGAATCACAGATCCGTCTTTCTTCGCTATAGTCTCACTAACTGTAGTTGAACTTTTCCCCCAGTTTCCTTAATAAGTCTAAATAACTGTCTACTGTTACCGATTGCCTTTTCCATCTTTCTGGCCTTCGCTACCCACTACTGTTCGCGGTCGTTGCGTAGACTTTTTCTCAATCTACTTTTAAGTTGTGCTCGCCCTTCATTGTATTCAGAGCCTGCAGGGATGCGTTCAAGTGCATCCATTAGTCCAGAAGAAGCTGTTGATATCCACTGGCTCTTTTTAGCCACTCATTCGGAGTCGACTACGGTCTTCAGAGCTGCTTTCACAGCAGACTGGAGATGGCACAAAGCTTCTTCTGGATGAATGATACTCTTCTGTTCCGATAAATGCCTAGCCCAACTTCTCACTGAACATAGCTTTGGTGTTTTCGTTGTCCAGCTGCACTCGTAGTGGTTTTGTTGCCAAATGTTTCCTGCGTCCATTGGGACGCAGGCATATACGCGCTCGGACCAACGCGTGGTCGCTATCCAAACACGTATTCCAGAAGGAGCGGAAGTTTCTGATCCTCTATATCGATGACTGACAGCAGTGTGGTCTATCTGTGACCATTGCTGAGTTGAGCTCGGTGGACGCCACGTCAGACAGTGTCTTTCTTTGTGCTAACTGAAAATAAGCGGTTACCAGAGCACAGTTGTAGTAGGCGATCACCGTCATCTGTTCGTTCAGCCGGGATTCCAAAAGTGACACCTAATTCCCTTTCTGCCTCACTCAGTCTACCCATCTATGCATTGAAATTACCTGCAACAAGCACCACACCTGAGCGTTTGGCTTTTCTGTATTAATGGATGCACGTACGCAAACTGGTGAAGGCTGGTAGTACATCGAGGATCGGAAGCAACTAGAAAATAAACCAATAAAGAGTCCGTGCAATGGCAACACGTAACAAATTTATTGGGACTTATCAAAAAAGCTGGGGAGAAAAAGACAATAGTCAGTTACACTGTAGCGAAGAAAGGTGAGTTTGCGTTTCACACGCGAGGGAGGAAACTGAAGTGACCGGTGATATCCTTTGAGAAACAGTTCAACTGGAGTCGAGCTAGCCTTCAGTTTGCTGCTATCCAGTTTCATCTGGAATGGAATATCGAGATACTCTTGCAAAAACTGAAAAAACCAAACGTATCTTGAAGCACGGAAAGCCTGTAGGACCAGTATCAAGGGTGTTTAGGGACGGTGATTAGAGATTACTGGTTAGGCTGAGTTAAGTGTAAGTTAGTGCATGATCCCCTTTGAGAGGTATCAGTCACTGGTTGTCCAGATCTGCACCGAAGGAGAGGAATTCTCCTAAGATAACTACAGAGGAGTCAGCCTGAAGAACCTAGTGTCTAAGATACTAGGTTCTGCAACAACTGAACATATACGTGGAGGTAGTGAACAGAAAGCGAAAAAGCCAGATAGCTTTTGGACCTTGTCGTGGTTGTATCGACAGGATTTTTACACCACCAGATCTTGGAACAGATGTACTTACCGACGCAAATATGTGCTGTGTTCTTTCGCCCAAAAGTAGCATACGACTCCGTTGATTCAGAGGTTTTATGGTAATGTCTGTGTGCTCAGTAAGTATATCACATTACCGAAGGGTCATACCAAAACAATGGCTGTCATATTCGATCTTAAGGTAAGCTATCAAGTGAGTTGTTTATGAATGGTACCCGTTAAAAACGGCCATTCTCTCCACTTTTCTTTAAAGTTGTTATAAACGTGCTTGTATATTAGTCACTGTCTTCTTAGACTTTACAGGGACTGGTTTTGTCTCAGAAGACTCCTTAGTCTATCAAAATTTCTAGGATGGCATAGTTCTTGTAGATAAAAACGCTGACGAAAGTCTTCTGGAAAACTGAAGTCAAAAACTAAGAATATTAGCGACAACTTTCTATCCACTGAAATGCACACGATTGTTGCTTCAGAACTTATCAGTGTTGGTGCCCCGTCTAACAAAAAGGACTGAACTAGTCCAGCCCAATGACCCATTCATCTACTTGGGAAGTCAGATCACAGAAAACTCACCACGAATACAAACGGCTCAACTGGTAATCGGTAAAAAACGCCACTGCTGGTATCGATGGAATTTTCAATCGCCTACCAAGCATCAAGTGTATACCGCGTAGCAGTTCTCTCTGTTCCTCATGATGCCTGTGAAACATAGCCATTAAGGATGGACATGAAAAGATTTCAAGTATTCGATCACTGCTACCTTCGTAGAAGTACTAAGTAAAAGAAACATGTCAGCTGATGAGATTGTAGATCTTCACTGACTCAGGTGGCTAAGGCATGTGTTACGCCTGCATAATCACCCTCCACCTCAACGTACGATGGTAGCTGATGTAAGACTAGACAGAAAAACATTAAGGGCGACCAAACTAAAAAAGTGACATAGGCCCAAGAAGCTTCTGACTGTTGGTCTGAGCCGTGTACGATAATGCAGACTTCCCCGTTGGGTTCTACATGACAAACAAAACCAATGGTTAAAAACTATGTGATATGGTTAAGAATCAACTATAGTGGTGAAAATGCATCTATACATTACCTTTATCCTAACCGTCATAAGGGTCTGCTTACACCTTGAGCTACCAAAAATATTTCCCACCTAATATATATTTCATCAAATTCTTCCCTTTCTATTTGTTTTAATCTTTTAAGCATGTCTTCTAAATGTACCACATACCCGCGCACCTTTTTAAAATATTTTCAAACTTTCGTTCCTGAAAATAAGAACGAAACGAAACAAAACGTTACCCTATGTGGAAATGTTATTCAAATGCTCAAAAGTACGACACAGTACTATTCCTATGACACCTATATCGAATTGCAGATTTTTGTACTGGCTGACTGAACTACCACCATCATAATTACACTCAATTTTGTATTCATCTCCAAATCCAGACCAGAAGCTAATGTAACACCAGTTACCAATTTCACACTAGTGCCTTTAACACTGACTAACAACACCGTTATTAATAACACTATTCAGACGCAATAATTATTTCTTTTAAAAATATTTCACAGGGAACGCATTTGTTGAAATAATGCCTGCTGAAAATTCCACAATGTATCATACGTGCTATTCGGAATAAAGCAATTATCATTATGATCTCATTTAGTTGATTTATTCCCTTTTCATCTCTTCCTACAACTTTTTATAACATCTTTTTCCACTTCTTTGTGTTTTATCTTGGTGCATTGTATCGTAATGTGCTGATATAAGGTGCAGCAATGTAGACATTCGTGCTACCAAGGCCTATTAAATGGAACTGAAACTAATAGTTTGTTGTGTCATTGTTCAGTGTTAACCTTTAATGACAACTCAATACAGTCAACAGGTTCTTGTTCAACTTGGTCTATGTCATGCTATGTCAAGTAAAAAAGGTCTCATACGAAACGAAACACACAAATAAGTTAGTAGGATATTATTCGAACAAGGAAATATGCCAAAAATGTGGCACTTATATCTTTGTTGCAACTTTTCACAAGAAATCAAGATTGCGCTTCACTTCGAGGTTAAGGGATTGCTTCCAATCAAATAAGCGGAAGTAGTACCAGTAGTTTCAAACACGTCGTAATCATGTATGCTTGCTACTTATAAGAATATATAAGAGTAGTATATGTGATAGGAGGTTGCTGGGAGAAGTGATAAAAAAATAATAGCTGGCTGGTAAAAGTGGCGCACAGAAGAACGAGAAAACGGAGAGGATGACAAGAATAATCCGATAAAAGGAAGAAATGTCCACCGAGTGGGAGAACATAAACATTGTTCGAATAGGTTATACTTAATACAAATCTGTAGTCAGTCACTAGCATGAATTGCAGTTTGCTAAATTAACGACTTTATCCATCCTCTCAGTACTCTTGTCTTCTCTTTTCTTCTCCCCCTCTCTCTCTTCCTCCCCCCTCTCTCTCCGTCTCTCCAGTTTTATTGACTGTTATTGAGCATGTAAAATCAAGAGATAAATAATATCTATAATACATTTTTGCAAGCTATACGGTTATTATTCAACATCACAAAAGAAGGGAAAATCAGATGAACTCATTCACAATTCTTTTTCAGTAATTAATAAACCAGAAAAAAGTCATTACAGTGAAATAAGATAACAGCTGACATTCCTAGTATTCCTATAAAACTATAATTAGTACATGATGAGTTGTCAAAATATGTAGGAACCATGGTATCCAATTTCACGTGTTGTTCTGCTCATTCTCTAGAAAAAACAAATCTTTCAGATAGAATCGATAATGGATTTATGATCAACTAAAGGTTGAAAATTAGATAGATTTTCTAACTTGGCAACGAGTGATAACAACCGAGATTCTGAAAAATATGGACCGATCAATTGCAAACCAATTGGTAAACCGCGAGTAGGAGATAAACCAACGGGAAATGAGACGGCTGGTAATCCTGACAAATTTACAGCCACTGTACAAACATCATCAAGTGTAGTGCGAGTACGATTGTCTAGCTTTGAGAACTCATCGATACTTATAGGGAGGTTGGGTGATACCGGTGTGAGTATGAAGTCCACTGATTCGAAAACCTGAAATATGAAAATAAAAATTTTTTAACCGAGAAAATGTTTTCAAAAATATAATTATGCACAAAAAGAGCATACAAGCCTAGATAACTGTTTCTTTCATTTCATTTTCACTTCTAGTTGATAATTCGACTGACTGACTCTATAAAACCACAACAAACTCCGAAGACATTGTAAAGAAAGGTTTAAACGTAATATAAAGTGCACATTGTGGTTTATTGAAATGAAAAAACATCAGACAAAATCATAATGTCCGGTAACTACTCATAAGAGCAGCACTTTGTTCACATCCAAATTAGTACACATAGAATATCAGTTTTGGTAAAAGGTATGTCCATGGAATATGTAATTCTATAGTACTAAGCATCTGAAAATTATAGACAGCATAGATTCAATAATGCAACAGTGAAAATCGATGACTGTAGAAATGCATGATTACATGTAAGTTGAATATCTCAGATAGTGAAGCAGTATCCAATGAACAATCATTTTGCACTGAGTACTAGAGAAAAGCATACTGTTCAATGATGTAAAACATCCCGAATAACCAATCCTGTTGCATAAGTCATGGAATCCCTCCACAGAAAACATTCCATGGTTTGGGAATGTTGATTTTAAAAGTAAATAGCACAGGTTTTACTCACTTCCGTCTCCTACCAACCCATTTCTGAATACTGCAGACATTTGCGTTTAACAGTCATTTACACACACACACACACACACACACACACACACACACACACACACACACACACACAAACCATTTAAGCAGGAAACGAAAAACTCAGTTCCTCCTAGAAGTAATCGAACAAGACTAAAGTGTGAAAGATACCTCATTGGACACTAAGGAAAAACGGTTACTTCACCGAAGAGTCTTTTACGACGATTTCAATTTCATACCTGTACAATCGCAAATTTATACATTTTTCTTATTTTAGGGTTCGAAAGTTACCACAGATTTGTCAGAGAAGGCGATAAAAATGGTGTCAATGCACGAACCGTCATTAAACTGTGTGACTACCAAATCTTTGTTGCATCTTTTAGACGGAAGTGTCCTCATAGACAAAATGGTGTCTCTATTCTAATAAGGGAACGAATTCTATAAACCTGCGAAAGAGAAAAATAAGACAATAAATTGAACAGCAACTTACTGGTATTTTTAAAAGCGTCGAAAAATGATCAGTTAATAACCGTTGATCCCTACGAATGCATCAACAATTCCACAACTTTACGGATTATAAAAAATTCCCGATTCGTCCGATTATAGACATATCTGGATCTTTTTGCCATCCAACTGCAAAATGGCTAGCGGAAATTCTAGAGCCTGCAGGAAGATAAATCGCATCCACTTCCTAAGTGACACTTGAATTTTCAGTTTGACTGCGACAGTCGTGGTTTGGTAGGCTTAAATTTGTCGACTACATAAGAGACGTATGATTCACTTGGTGTGAAGTCACTGTTCACGAATGTTCCGCCTACCGAAGCTATCTATTTCTTATGCAGATACATAGAAAATAATAACTTGACTGTTGGGATGCCAACCCACACGTTAAAGAATTGTTACTTAGATGCACATTTAACGTTCAATTCACATTTAACAACGTGATTTATTGATCGAAAGATGGAATCGCCATACAGTCCTCACTAGATCCACTACTAGTAGATTGCTTTATAGTTAGTCTGGAGAAAGGACTCTTGAAGGTTTAAAACTGTACACAAGATAGGTGAATGACACTTTTATTATTTGTAATGATCAATGTGACTTGAATCACATTCTAAAGATACTCAATAGCTGCCATTCAGCCATGGAAGTTATCCTTGAGGTTGAAAATTCACTTTCTCGATGTAGGGCTGATCAGAATAGCCGGTGAGACGTCAAGAAGACCAATTCACAGAAAACTAATGTGGAATGGTCAACTGACGAACCTTCATAGTTGGGTGCCTGTGGGTCGTGAACGAAATGTGATCATATCTCTTGTCATTCGTATTAGACGAATCTGCAGTCTTGATGTATTGGGAGAGGAAATTTCTGTCCTAAGGAACATTCTGATTGAAAATGGATTTCCACCTTGTTTAACAGATAAAAATATCAGGTCAAAATCTGGCAAAGCGGCCTTACTACTGTGCCAAAAAAGTGCTTTATGTGAATCTAAGTTTCAAAGGTGATTCTACCGCTGACACTCTAAAGACGAGAATATCAAACACTGCAAAGAGAACATAATTTGCATCAACGCTGCGACTAGTATTCTACTATCAACAACTTGAAGCACAATCTTTCACATCTAATCACTTCTATGTTGTGGAGCTCTTGTTGAGCCAGGTATATAGGTCTTTCGATGCAACTGTTATCAAAAAGGGATCAGGGACAACATTCCGTGTGGTTACAGAGGCAACAGTGAGTCGATAATAAGTCCTATAGCTGAACACTGACCACTCCACTTCAAAAATCTCCCCATTCAAAGTCATTTATAAAGTGAAAAGAAACCTTCCGAAGTTGTATGTCCTCGTATTCTCTGCAACGCCCAGGCTTTTGCCATGCATATAGAAAAACGTGAGCTTCGTATGCAAAAGAAAATTATTCGACCTCTTTTACTTTCATGGTCTTAATTTTCAGTGGTTGAAACCACCCATTTCTTTTTACATTGTTCACGTCTTACGTAATTTACCATTCATTCATGTCTCTACGCTCTTTCTGATCACACCTCAGTTCCCAAATATTTTACCCAAACTAGTATTCTTCATACAACTCCAGACATATTCCACTACTCATCAGTTTAATGACGGTTCGTGTGTTGACACAATTTTTACTGTCTTCTTTGACAAATCACTGGTAACTATCGAACCCTATCACAAGAAAAATGTATAAGTTTGCAATTATACAGCTATGAAGTTGAAATCACCGAAAAGAGACTTCTCGCTGAAATACTTGTTCCTGTTTTACTGGCTAAAGTAATCAACTTTTAAGCTATGAGAAATGATTTCAAACCTCTCTCCATAGTTTTGCATAAGCAACTGGATGGGAGTGTAAGTTCTCACATTTTATTCATGGCTCATAGCTTATTTCAAACACCTGTAAGAGAGTGAGTTATATTGCTGAATGAAGTCAGTGGGAAAAAGAAGTATGTTGACAAGTGTATGAAGGTTGTATGAATATGTCTGATATTGTCTGGTATACCCAATAACATGGGTTACCAATGCGTTACATGACTTTCCAGCGTAAACTATGAATATAAACCAATACTATAAGAAAAACATGCTGAAGTCATGAAAAATAGATAAACAGTTGACAATATTATTCCCAATGGAGTTACTACTTCATGTGTAGTCCGAGTCTCTAGCCACTACAACAGATGTCAATCAGTTATTCACGAATCATGAACTCGGTTGTATTCTTCAAACTAAAGAATAATTGACTAGCCAATGGCTTGGGAAGCATGAAATTCTAAAATAAGTCATTCTTATCTGGTATAGAATGTGTAAAAAAAGCTATCAATGCCAAACAGAGATATTTTTGACTTTTACTAAATTCTGAACCAACCGGTTTCCTTGAAATGTCTGTAAAGTGCGCACTACGTCCCATCCTAACTGCATAGTTTGGACACAGACAGATAATGATAGTCAAATAGAACAGAGGACGGTTGGAGAAGTAATACGTAAGAAAGTTATCAGAAATAATGATGGTAGTTTCATAGAGTTCAAGAACTTACTTCTATATATTCAGGCTTAAAATTCCTGACTAACTGATTTCAAGGTGATTTTCCCCACACAATTATGTCGCATGGAGAATCACTGAACACCTAGGAGCTGGAAACGGCTAGTTTTCTCGGGTCTAGGAATCCCAAGCATTGAGCAGCCATGACCATTGTGAAGGATGAAGCTAGAATTGTCAGGTCTTGTGACGCTAGTTACTGTGTTAAGATCCAATGGTTCTAATTTTCCTACTTCTAACAATTTCTGGCATAGCCCGGTGAACGTTTGATGGCAAACAAGCGCAATTTAGTTATTCATGCTCAAGCTCATTTTTTGTCAAACCATTTTGTGAAACAATCAACTTTTATCTTTATGAAAAGTCACAAATCTAATTAAAAGGTTGACCTTCTGGATAGTAAATTCATAATTCACATTGTGTCATCAAGAACAAGATATTCAGTGAAGAGGACTTTTCGCTCTAACCCTAAGTCGGTGGTATTAAATAACTACCGGAAGTGAAACCATATTTCAACATGGAATCCCACTTTATCAGATGACAAAAATAATTTATCATAAAGTAAGAGAAAAAATAGGTAAAATTTATCCATTCAAATAAATTTCACCGATTGAAACAATGTACTGGAGGTAAGATTGACTGACAAGACTAAAGTCGACTACAAGCATGCCATCTGCTAGTCAGAAGAAAATAAATTCTCAAAACAACCCAAACATTAAATAATAGTTCAGATACACATGTCACTTGGTTAAATGTTAAATACACCTTAAATGTAGATTATAAGGCTGTAACTCCATCAGCCCAGGTAGTCAACTTCTAAGCAGCAGGTCACAAGTTTGAGCCATCTACTGACTTTTGAGCAGACAAGTAATTTCATAAGCCCTCATATAGTATGTGTAACTGATCACCTCATACAAACACTGGAGTTACATCAATATTTGTTCATTAACATAGATACAAACACAGATCTACTGATAGTTAAAACAACTAAGTGACTCTTTTCAACGCTAAACCATAAAAATTACTACCTTAATAAAGTCCTCCTTGATCAAACGCCATAAACGTCGGGCGGCAGCTAAATATCGACACTGTTGATCTCGAAGAAGGAAGAAATTACCAGCAAATATTCTGTCACGTACAACGTCACCAAAACCAATTGAACGAGTTTCAGAATACTGCATTGTTACATTTCTTGTTTTGAAGTCATCCTGATCATTGGACAATTTCTTTGCAGAAAATCCATACTTTAGTCCATCGTACCTGAAATGATGAGAATGCAAAAAGACAGTTCACATATTTTGACAAATAAAGGTTAACATATAATTTTTACTAAAATAAAACGTTCTCATACACATAAAGTTACCGTCCAGTTGTTCGACTAAACTTATTTTATGTAGTTCGAAACAGACGGTGTATACATTCCATTTCTTCAGTATATGAGTGAGGATGCAGCAGAGACTCCTTGTTCTAAGTACTTGACTTTCAATCATTAGGTCACACGTTTGAACCCTGCTTCACCCACCGATGTTTGGGAAACCAGGTAACATCCGCAGAGCCTCACACAACAGGTTAGGCTCATCACCTACTGCACAAAAGTCTATGTGTTTTTTAAGAGTATTTAGATTCGATACTAGTCAACATTTTACAGTTTAACCTGGCTATACTTATATATTATTCGCAAATGATTTTTTCTATTATTGGATGATGCTTATCAATCAGGTAGTAATAGTAAGAGTTACTGGAAACATTTTTCGCCCTATTCTAAACTTTTCAGTAACATAATCACCTTTAAAATTGAGCACGTAACTACAACCAACCCGTTAAATCTCTGAGTCCCAACGACCGGTAATCATTCTCGACAGGTTTATTAACACGTAAAATCCATAATACATCAACTTTTTATAAAGAAATAATACCAATTGAATGTAGTATCAAAAAATTGTTAAACTTGACTGCAGTTTGTACATAATTCTAAAGGATGTATATCATAGGGGTTTTCATATACACATACTGCTGAGGTGTCTCATACTAGGACGAAACGGCTGTTCAGTTCTCCCAAGTTTTTATTGGTTCTCCAACTGAAGTCAGTTCATGGTGGAATTAGTTAATTCTACGAAACCTTTAAACGGAATCGTTATCCTTTAAGTTACCAAGAGGAAATAACCATTTACTCAAGAGTGCAAGTTCAACGTTAGTAGAACAAATGCAGAAAAAATCTCTTTTTATAACTGATGTCATTCCATGCAAGAAAGCTATCGTGAATAAGAGATTTAGTGGATACCATCCAACTTTCTAAAGTAGTGACTACTGACTGTAACAATCAAAACACTAACAGCAACATACAAACATATTAACATAAAAGCTCATAGGAAAACGAAACCTGTCCTACATTTCATCACCATACACTATAACAGCTCGTTCATAAAGTTTCTGGTGGCAATACCAAAAACAGAAGTACATACACCAGTAAATATCAGCATGTTTACTAGGTGAATAAATCACTAGCAATAAAATGTTTTATTTCCTTTTTTTAAGATACAGATTTATCGTTTGTTTAATTAAGATGATGAATGTATGCCATTAATTTTAAAAATGTGTGATTTGAAATTACCTAGCCATATTTGATGCCACCTCTGTTGCACACAGAACTGAGTAGACAGTTGTAGCCATAGGAGTATGCGGCAATTTGACTAACTGTACAGAACAGGAAAAATGATCAGCTAACCACCCGGCTACCATGTCCCACATGGAACATATCTCTTCATCAAGACCAGGAACATGGTACTCCAGAGGAATGCCTATGCGCAGAGGATGGGTGTCGCGATTGAATTGCAAATTCCCTTTAGCAACATCGTGCAACTCACTGCAAATGCGTTTCAAGAAAGACTGTGAAAGTTGACAACAAGTGGCATCACCTGCTCTCGCAGAGTTATTTTCTGGTAACAGCCAGCTCAGTAAAACACTAGAAACATCATAAGCAGATGGAGCAACGATGGCAGGCACATCTAAATTATTCACTAGTGGGATCAGACCGTAACGAGAAATGAAGGTGTAAGTTGGCTTCAAGCCCACAACTCCACAATATGCAGCAGGTAACCGTGCGGAGCCACCGGTATCCGAAGCAACAGCGGCTAGACAAAGACCAGCGGCGACTGCAGCTGCACTACCCCCAGAACTCCCACCAGAGATGAGACGAGTTGTACTACCAGCTTTACTATTCGAAAGTAATCTCCCAGACCATGGGTTAATAACAGGACCAGCCAGTGCACTACTTGTAGATCCACAACCCATTGCAAATTCATCCATATTCGACTTTCCCATAATGAAAGCACCTGATTTCAGAAGAGAAGATACAACCTGTAATTAGTAACCATTTGTAAAAGACAGAGAAACAAGAAAATACCATACTGTCAATGACCGTTTAGCATATTTGGCGATTTAATAACTAAGTGAATTAACCACTGACTAGCATATTTATTAAGTGTTTACAATATAATTTTTCTTACAAAGTGAAAGGTGATCTCTAGTGCATTTAAACAGCAGCAAAAACCATTCACTTCACCATTTAACAAGAAGAGCACACAGAGATAGTGGAATACTTTTAAGAGTGTTAACCGTGTTGCTGTTTTCTAAATTCAATAAAGGGCTAGTTTCTAATTATACATCACTTATATTAAGTACATTTGGTTTATATATCGGTAACACGACGCTTCTGTCAATATTTTTTAAGGATCACATCGATACAAAACCAAACAAGGATATGAAACAACACTTCATCCACGTTATTCTCATAGGTTACCAATTTTGAGATCTGAAGAGGGGCAAGACAGAAACTCCAATTAACAAATAGGAAACAAAACAGCCAATATCGAGGCATTCGCACAGAACCTCATATGCTAATAGTGGCCGATTACTTCGCTCCAAACAACGACGGAGACGTACAAGCCATAATATCAAGAAAACTATGCTACATACGTCATACAAGGAGGAGCTATCGTGATTCACTGGTCTAGTGAATAATGCTCTGATGTTTGAAGCGATTGGTCCTGAGTTCGAGTCCTGGTGGGAACTGCATCACTCGCTAGGAGGCAGGTATATCCAACTGACGAGTCCAGAATGGAGCGAAACGTACGTTTTGGATTCCAATAATAGCCACTATTCATCATTACCATCAAAATAGATGACTAAATTTGATACACCTTTATTCTCATGTCATTCATCAATACAGCAAAGCAATACCATATCTTAATCGGCTACAATTGGCAAAATAAATCAGTGAATACTTACTTAATTTTGGACATAAACTCTATAACATGGTACGCCGTTTACAGTAAACCGAGACTTGATTGTATTTGAGATAGACGATGGTTACAAATAAGAAACCTATTTGTAATGATATTACTCATAAACAATCTTACCAAAACAGAAAAAACCACTCAAAACTTCGATGCAAAAAGCATGCTTTTTGAATGATCACAGTTAGTTAATGGATATCTGATCTATTTTTTCCAGTGAATATATAATAGTTGAATACAATCTCCTATAAAATCTCTTCAAAGTACTCATGCTTGGTCTCGTCCAAGTCTTCGTTCATTACTTTCACTAAATAACCATTTACACGCAAACTCCAGACGAATGATAAACACAGCAAACAACGGATGACGATTAAGCAGCGTGTCAAATTAGAAAAAGGATATGGAAAATAATATAATCCTCTGGAACATTGAATATACATAATACTACAATAATCATATGCATACGGAAAGAAGACTTCAAAATGACTTCAAGACTTCAAAAATAGACACCTACAGCAGCGTCATACGGTGGACAAAAGTTTTCCAAGGATTTTGAAGCACAAGTTGTTTTCAGTGGTAATTTTCGGTGATTCACGCAAAAATTGTCTTTGACAACCACTGGAACACTAGTCATAAAGTTGAAAGTATTTTGATTCATAGTCGAGTGTTGCGAGCCAATCACGAATGAAGTGCTAATTAATGAATTGGTAGGAGGAAGACCAAGCGATGATACAGATAATTTATTGTTAGTAGCCTGGATGTCTGCTTGAATACGCCCCATAAACACGCGCCAAACATCCTCAGGACAAACACGTCTTGCCAATAATGAAGAATGTAGGTGATATATACATCCACGTGACATGAAAGAGTTAGTACACAAACTGAAAATGTAAAAGTACGCTTGGAATTGTTACTTAACAAAATATGTCACACCAGAAAACAGTTAAATGTCATAGAAAAGTAAGGAGGAATAAATTTCTGAGGAAACGTGTCTATAAGCTTACAATGATGACCTGGTAACCTGAATGAGAATACAACACGGAGAAAATTAGATTTTCAACAGTACCGCCTGGAAGACGACTTTATATGTCTAATAATAGCAATTTCTCTATCGTCCGTATGCAGAATATGATTTTCAATATGCACTATTGCAACCTCTAACCCTTTCAAAATGCTTTACGTCGAACAGTAAAATGGTACATAAATTACTATGAAAAACAACCCACTCATCGATATACATATGGTAGTAAGCATGGGAAGACCAAATACTTACCGGGGTAACAACGACTAGTTAGTTTATCGCTAACACTCTTCTTTTATGCAGAGTATGTTAAATATAGTTCCTATTTCATATTGTGTCATGAGCATGAATCCTTGTAAACTTACTTCTTGTCACTTCTGAAGACCGATAAAAAATGTGGTCACGAAATTGGAACCAGCTGCTTGTACGAATCTAAATGCTTGCTTACAGACATATTAATCGGTACAGTTAAGAGTACATCAGTAAGCCTACCAATGGCCTTCAGTCCTATACACACAACAAAATCTTTTGTCGTCATTTCATTAAAAAAGGCGTAAAATGAAGGCGTACAGACAATCTACATTAATTATTAAGTGTCTTAATAGTAAACGTTATGTTATCCATGAAGCTGGTAACTTTTTCAAACAATAACTGAAACAGGAAAATGTTTTCGGTATTAATAAGATATGCAAAGACAGAGAAAGATCAAGACCTAAACCAAGATAGATGGCTTTTGGTACTTTGCTTGTAATAGAACCATCAAAACAATGGAAATAATCAGATTCTAGAAATTAACCCAAGTCTTTACCATATATGAAGCTGAAATCAACAGTTACAAAGGCCAAAAGTAAGAATGTCCATGGTCATTGTTTAATAACATGTATAATATGGATCAGCATATTTCATGAAGTTAGCTAAAATGGAATAGGGTATTAAAAATGGAAAGTGTGGATAAGCAAGATTACTTTACAGCACACTGACCTTGTCATATCAATAAAAGGTTTCCACATTTATCAACAACTTAAGATTTTGTCACTTACTGAGCAGATTCGATAAGATTACCTGGGCCGTACTTAAACAATCAAGAAAAGACGAATGAAACGAAGAAATATCTACACCCAACAATCTCGTTGTCATGGATTTGTAATGCAGTGCAACTCAGTAAACATTTTTACATTCATGCAGTAGACAAGTTACATTCCTTGTGTACTCCTCAACTGTCAAAACCTAGGCAGGTAAAGCGTGATTCGAACGCATGCCCCACTGGTTGAAAGTCAAGTTTCTAGACCAACGACCCACATTCTTAAACTAACCGGTAGGTCTTATAATGAATATCACCACTGAAGCCTACTCTACTTGTTGAGTACATGCAGAAAATGTACAGAAACTACAAAATGATCACTTTACGATTTTAAGTTATATCTGATAAAGTCCAAGACCATCAAACTATGAAGGGTTCATAAGTTAGACAGCGAAACGAACTGTTTTTTTGGAAACGTTAAGTGACAACGAAGAATACAGAGATAAAAATCGTTGAATGGGACTGAGCACACTTCAACGATCTAGATAACGAGGCGTTTCACATGAATTTACTGTAGACCTAAACTTTTAAAATGGATCAAGATGGCTTTCACAGTGTACAGCAGATGTATAAGTAAACCTTGCGGGAAATGAAATGGATGATAGGTTCGAACATGGCTTTAGTGACAGCAGTCCAAATCTATAAAATGAAACCAGTGTTACCTAAAATATCTTCGACCTAAAAGGTGATGTGCACTCTCATCACAAGTGATCGTACAATTTAACATTCTTCCTCTACCAAAACCTTTGAAAACGAAGATAACATGTAGATAAGTTTCCTGGGAAACCAAAATACTGTTTGTTTTAAGGTTCAGGAAATATTAACTCAACAAATTACTACTTTACCAACCAGCTTTTAACATCTGTTATATTTTCTGCTTTCAACTCAATTATACTCAAATCAAGCTACGGTAGATAGTATATCTACAGACACAAAAGATAAACAAAATCTATGTATAATCTCGCACATAAGTGCATCCATTCAGATTGTCACAATTTACAGCAGCATGCAGAAAACATGTAGGTGGAGAAAGAGACACACCAAAGTAAACGGGCAGGTTTAAAGGATTTCAAAAACAATGTGGGGAAAATGTTCAAATTAGATGTTAAAGGGTTCATATGTCTGTGCCACAGTTGCTGATTCTCAGCCATGTTGCTATCCACTAATACAAATCACTTCAAAGATCCCAGCGAGGCAGCTAACGCCTGCCTACAACGTTCAGATCAGCAGTCAGAGACTTCATGGACTGATGCAAAGTCTTAGTTTGAACACTCCGAGCCTTTTACAAACCGGATCCTACCTCAGACATTTCAAATCCCGGTAGGTGGTGGATCGACATGTGCAACACATGTATGCGCCATATCAGTCAGCGAAGGATCATAAATTCATCAACTGACTTGTCTTCCTTGCTTAGAACCCATTCAAACAGCTTCAGTACTGTTCACATAATGATTACACTATAAGTAAGCAATGCTGAAATAGACACAACACAGCTCATTAGTTTCATTCAGTACATGTCTACACAAAAATATTTGCCTTGTTTAACTAATACTCTACGTCTAATCTTAACACTGGTCACTTGATGGTCCCATCATATTTAAAAAACGTTCCCAAGACACCTACGGTAGACAACATGTAACAATCCACTGCTTCTCACCTTCAGCAGAAACACATTAAAGTCGTACATAAGAACGGAAAGAACTGATGTGCAGTGCACTCATTTTTGGCAGGTGGTCAGCAGACTCATTAGTGTTACAGATAGACTGGGTTACGAAATTCGTGAGCACCGAGACCTTGTTTAATAACTAGTTCATTCGGGTTAGTACGAATTCCCAAATAAGTGAGCTGGCTGACGCATCTAATCAGCACTCCCTTGTCTTAGCATGATCAAATGCCGGTGTACACAAGTATTGTAAGAACACTTTACAATGGACAGGTGTAAAACTTATAGCAAATGTACTTCATCTCTTGCCTAAGACATTCAGAAGAATCTGTAGTTTCATAGTTTTCTTAACCAATGAATTGAAAATGAGCAAGTTTTACGTGGATTTCACCAGCCAATACTCTGATACTCGTATGACAGTCTAAAGCCAGTATAATGTCGATAATGGAATTCGATATGGAAGAGACAACCGAATAATCGACGTAAAAGCCAAAGTGAAATTATTAAAACGAAATCTCGAAGCTCCACAAAACACTTGAATTTAAGTACATTGAAGGCGGTATACGAGGATTAAGAATCAAATGTAAGATGACAGATCAAGAAACTCGCTAGACATCTACATTATATGTTTAAAACTAACCGTATCCAAACCACAAATGACGTTTTTTAGATGCTTTTATGTCATCATAATAAGTAAATATTTGTAAAACCAGACCGAAATAATAAAAAACCCAGACCTATTCGGGTTTTAAAGAAAATGTTTACACGTTGAGAATACATAGCGCACTTAGGTTCCTGATCCTTTATACTCCTTGTTGCTACTCTCTCAAACGGTTTACTTAATCAAATAAAAATGCACATCTCAATCTAAGCATGGTATTTGACTGCACCTGTGTGAAAATATGAAGACATTATCTGACAATCTATTGAAGACTGTGATGTTTTAAAAGTAAAAGATTTTTTACAAGTCTATAGATCACAACTAACAACGAAACTGAACATTTCAATGATTACCATGAAGCCTACTAATACGAATGTTAATCGAAATAGTCTCCTACTAATGAATAACCCTAATCAAGGACGGATCTAAGCCTCATAACCATAAGTTCTAATTCTAACTGTAAAATTACACTACCACAGTAGTCATGAATGTAAAAACCTTTGGGTAAAAAACAACATAATTTCTAAAATCCACTGAGCCGGAAATTAATTTCGGGAAATAAAATCTAGTATCCTAAGGTGACTTTACAATGACTGACAAGTAACTAAGTAAAAAGTAAGATGGCAGTGAGTTAAGACAGTTGGTCTTCATATGATACGGTGACAAACAGTATGAATTTGATACTGGTCTAGATCCATTAATTTACGAAAATAACAATCGCCTTTAACAAACACTTAAACATAACCACTTTGATTATTACGCACAATTAGTAGAACACGTAGAAACCAAATGATAGTAGAGACAAACAGTATAAGTTTCATCTGTAAATTCTATCAGATTAAAGAAACGACGCCATATATACAAACATGTAAACACCCCTGAATCAGCTCATTCAAATGTGTTAGTTGAAACGCCTCAAGAACTTAAGAGTCAGAGGAACTTTCTATAAGTAAATGTTTCGTAAAGCTATCTTAATGTAAGAAATATTTTTGTTTTATTTATTGGATAGATTGAATACACTGCTCAAGGAAGTTGCAAACTTCCACTAACCATGAAGATTTGAAAGTGGTGGAAAAATTAATTTGCTATCTGACTCAACAAACACTGCGAGTACATCTAAATAAAATTTAGAAATCTTCGTTTAGATTAAGGGGATATATTAAACGATGTGAACGATAAACTGCAGTGGGAATTAATGAACAACTGGTTACAGAAGCATATCAATGTGCCTGTTATTTTTATTCAGTAAGATAATTAGCTCAATACCACTATTTCCCATTTCAATTCATCATGCTGTCGTAACAATATCAAGATTATTACATTTACCCAACTGGAAATTATTTGGTATGAGTCACGGGCGATTCAAACAGCAAAATAAAGCTGTCCAATTGGGCGATTCGCCTATATTGCAGTGTAAATTACAATTCTTAAAGTAGTTCCTGATCGAATGAATGTG